GCGAGAGGCGGGCCCCGCGGTGACAGGGTCCCTGACAGGTGACACGCCTTCTCCGCGCTTCAGGAAGGCCCCAACAAGACGGGAACTTCCTGTGCCCTGGACTGTGGCGCCGGCATCGGAAGGATCACCAAGCGGCTGCTCTTGCCGCTGTTCAGAGAGGGGGACATGGTGGACTTGACGGAGGACTTCCTGGTGCAGGCCAAGACCTACCTGGGGGAGGAGGGCAAGAGGGTGAGGAACTACTTCTGCTGCGGCCTGCAGGACTTCAGCCCGGAGCCCGCCTCCTACGACGTGATCTGGATCCAGTGGGTGATAGGTGAGGGCCCTGTCCCCCTCGGCACCTCTCCTCCCGGGGCCCAGGGCCTGGGGGCTCCCGGGCCTCTGCCTGACGGGCCTGCCAGGCTGTCTCGGCTGCAGTGCCCGCTGCTGTCCACGTGGGGGCAGTCTTTAGTTGAAAGTTTTAAATGGCCAGTAACTTACTGCCTTCAGAGAAGTGAAAATGGTTTTGGAGTCGGAGTCTCACTCCGTCACCCAGGCTGGAGCGAAGCAGCACGTGCACGGACACCCCAGCATAGACCTGCTGGGCTCTAGCGATCCTTCTACCTCAGCCTTCAAGTAGCCGGAACAGGCACGCACTACTATGCCCGGCTAATTTGTTTGGCTTATTGCAGAGATGAGGTCTCACCAAGTTGCCTGGGCTGGTCTCAAACTCATGGGCTCAGGCAGTCCTCTTGCCTCGGCCTCTCAAAGTGCTGGGATTATAGGCTGAGCCACCATGCCCAGCCGAAGATTTTTTTTTTTTGAGTTGGAGTCTCACCCTGTCACCCAGGCTGGAGTGTGGTGGCATGCTCCTGGCCACTGCAGCCTCGCCCTGCTGGGCTCCGGCGATCCTTTCGCCTCAGCCTTCCGAGTAGCTGGAACTACACGCCCTGCTAATTTTTGATTTATTGGAGAGATGAGGTCTCGCCAAGTTGCCTGGGTGGGTCTCGAACCCATGGGCTCAGGCAGACCACTCACCTTGGCCTCCCAAAGTGCTGGGATTACAGGCTAAGCCACCAAGCCCGGCCTGAAAATGAGTTTTATAAGGGGTTTTAAGATAGATGAGTGCAAGCCATGGCTGCCCTGTTGACTACGGCGAGAGTTCCCTGCTCTGCCGTTCTGTCCCACACCTGGTTAGCCCAAGGTGCACCAGGATGCAACTTGCTGGGCTGCTGGCCGGCCACTAGACTGGTGTTAGCCACCTCCAGGCAGGCAGCACAGGCCTGCTGTGGATGCAGGTCGAGCCTTTCAGAGTAGGAAGGAACCTTGCTTGGGAGCTCCTGGCGTGCCAAAGCGTCAGGCCAGTCACACTTCCTTGGCCCAGGCCCGGTGGGGTGGAGGGATGTGGCATGCAGGTGTTGGCAGGGTTGGAACTGACGGGTGCCTTTGGGTGGGTGACTTTGGAGCCAGCTTCCTCTTACACAGAAGGGCACCTGTCAACCCCTTGGGACCACAGAGCACAGAACCCGACCCGCGTCCACAGCAGGGCTGAACTTCCCACCTTGGAGGTGGCTGATGCTGGTCCAGTGGCTTGCCCGCGGGTCAGCAGCCCGGGCACAGCCTCCCAGCGTGCTGTTGGCTCAGCAGGGGCGGAACGGATGTCAGAGCAGGTAGCGCTCGCCCAGTGGCAAGCACAGCCTGTTGGACTCCGCCTTGGGATACAGGCACTCTGGGGGCCGTGGGCATGCTGGCTCCCCGGTGACCTGCCCCTGCCTCCCCAGGCCACCTGACAGATGAGCACCTGGCCGAGTTTCTGCGGCGCTGCCAGAGCGGCCTCCGTCCCAACGGCATCATCGTCATCAAGGACAACATGGCGCAGGAGGGCGTGATCCTGGACGACGTGGACAGCAGCGTGTGCCGTGACCTCCAGGTGGTCCGCAGGATTGTCCACGGCGCGGGCCTCAGCCTCTTGGCTGAGGAGAGGCAGGAGAACCTCCCGGATGAGATCTACCACGTGTACAGCCTGGCCCTGAGATAAGCCGGCTGGCGGGAGATGGAGGTGTCACGGCTGGGGGGGGAGGTGGCGGCTGGGCCGGCTCGGGCAGCACGCCGTCCAAGTGTGGGAGGCCACTAAATACACTTGTTGCGGTCCACTCGCTGGGCAGGCTCTTCTTCAAAAGGCCAGGTGGGGCCTGGGGGGAGGGGGAAGCCGCCCATGGAGCAGAGAGGCCGCCCTGGCCCTGCTGCACGGTGGGGCGGCCCAGAGGGCTCCAGGGCCCCCGTGGGGACGCAGGACCACTGAGGCTGACTCCCCAGCTCCGGCCTGGCCTTCCCCACACCTGCGTACCTGAGGGCAGAGGGACACCCTCGGCTCGGCTGCTGAGGACCTGAGTGTGGTCTTCACCTGGGGAAGAAGAGTGGCCTGGGGCACCCGCCCAATGGTGCCACGTGTGGGAACATTCCTGTGCCCAGTCCTGGGAGACGGGTCCTGGTGCCCTCGAAGTGCTGTCACGACAGCCTGCAGCAAGGGGTCACCTGGGGCCTCCCTCTGTGCTGGGCCTGGGGACCTCTGTGGCAGGCACTGAGGTCAGAAATAAAAGGGCGCGCCTGTGCTGTGATAGCCCTGGGTCAGTGTGGAGTGGTGCTTCTTCCAGGGGACAGGTGTCACGCCACTCAGAAACCGCCCCAGGGCTACAGCTTCTCCTGCCACCTCTGCCTTCTCACTGGTCACTGTGGGGGTCTTTGTCCTCAGCTGAGTGGGGGAGGGGAGGAACAGGAACATTACACAAGGACCTTTAAGGCTAAGAACCTGTTTAATTCTGTGATATAAATATGTCACCTCGGCTTACTCTCAAAGGCATTGATGTAGCTCACAATGACTGTGGTGCCTGGAAAGTGCCCCTTAGGGGCTCTGCACTGGACGGCAGTTGGCTTTCCAGGCTGGTGGTGCCCCATCAGGCTCCCCCCTTGCGAGGCAATGCTTAAGGGCCGTCCTCGCTGGGTGCTCACGCTGGCCTTTGAACAGAAGGCGTGGTCCCTGAGGCCCTGAGTTTGGCACAACCAGAACACAGGCAGGCGGGCGGGCACCAGTGACCCTGCCCGGAGCTGCAGGGTCGGCTCAGCTTCACCACATGCAGGCAGTCGAGGGCCTGTGGGCCCTGATTCCAGCTTCCCCAGCACTTGCGGAGTGCCTCCAGGCTGCGCCCTGCAGGGCAGATCAGACTCAGGGCAGTTCCAGGGAGGCCGCTACTGGGGCCCCCTCAGATCAGAGGCAGGCTGGTCTGGACCGGAGCCTGCCTCTCCAGTGTGGGGCAGGCCTTGGGGATGCTACCGCAAGGAAGGGCAGTCACCCTGGAAGACAGCCGCACCTGAGCCACTGGCGTGACCAGCTGCAGGCTCCCCTGGCTGGCTGGGAACCAAAAGCCCCCCAAAGGCTGGCCTGAGCTCCCAGCCCGAGTCCTGCGGTCTGGGCCTCAGAGGTCGTCTTCAGCAGGGCCGCGATGCTCGTTGAGGAGGTACCACTTGAGCCTGTCGGGCAGCGGCAGGGCTCGGACCTTCACGTCCACGGGCCACGGCTGGAGGCAGAGGCGGATGGCCACGCGGCACAGGTGCTTGAGTGGCGGCGGGCGGCTCTCCAGCTGGCACAGGGAGCGGTGCAGGGCCCGGATCCTCTCTGCGAGGCTGCCCACTGGCTGGACGTCGAAGTCCGCGGGCAGCTGGAGCCTCCGGGAGCTGGTGACCATGAGGTCCAGCACAGCCTCGGCCGTGCACAGGAGGTCGGCGTGGCTGTCGTCCTCGGCGCAGCCTGGGTGGGCACAGAGCCGCTCGAAGACCAGGCGGAAGCCGGACCAGCAGGAGGCGCCGTGCAGCGAGCAGTTGTAGGCGGCGCCGGACTCCAGCAGGAAGCGCAGCAGCGGGAAGTGCAGCTTGAAGCCCTTGAGGCAGATGTGGGTGAGCGACTCGTGGGCCGGACACTCACTGGGGTCGGCCCCATGCGCCAGCAGCAGCCGTGTCACTTGGAAGCAGAAGCGGTTGATCAGGCGGGCTTCCTCCGCGTCTCCCCCGACGGTCTCCCCCAGCAGGAAGATGAGGCAGGTGAACACAGTGTCCCCATCTTTGGTGGTGGCCTTGACGTCTGCCCCTGCGGGAGCCAGAGACAGCAGGAGGTGAGGGAGCCAGGGACCCGAGCGGGACAGCACAGCGGTTGGCCCGGGGGCGGCAGGGCCTCACCTCCCTCCAGCAGGAGCCGGATGTTCTCGGTGTTGTGAACCTGCACCCCATCGCTGCTGGCCAGGGCGTGAAGCAGAGCCGTCTTGCCTAGCGGGACAGAGGGAGAGTGAGGACAGGGACCAGGAAGCCCAGGATGGCGCTTGCGGCCCTGGTGGAGGTGGGGGTGCCAGGCACTGGCTGTTCTTGCCCTGAGAACACTGGAGCAGCGGGACCACGATGCCGGGGGTTTTCTAGACCCTGAGATACTGCGGGGTCCCCCCAAGGGAAGCCAAGTCCCTTGGGAGCTGAGAGCACGTGTGTTCGTTTCTTCCTGCAGCCACCTTCGAGGGCCACATGGGGGCAGCGGCAGCCCTGCCGCTAGAGCCTCTACAGCCTCTCTGCTCAGCACCATCCACCTGTGTGCCCACCTGTGCTGGGCCAGATGGACTGGCATCCAGTCCATCCCCCAGCTCTTGTACCGGGGCTCTGGGGGTTCCTCATGAAGCGCCTGGGCCCAGCTGCCCCGCCTCCCCCCAGAGGCCCACCATGCTTGTCAGCTGCGTTGACGTCGGCTCCAAGGTCCAGGAGGCGCTGCAGGCAGGGCAGGCGCTCTGGCTCCTCGCTGGCCAGGTCCAAGGGGCTGCTCTCGTGGACCTGAGCCGGGACAGCACAGTGGTTGGTTGGGGGCTTGAGGAGGCTCGCCCCTCGCCCTCACCCGCCGTGGTGCGGACGGGCCTGGTGCTTACCCGGTCCCTGCGGTTGACGTCGGCCCCGTGGTGCACCAGCAGCTCCACCATGTCAGGCTGGTTCCGCAGGACAGCGATGTGCAGGGCCGTGTAGTAGGTGACCGGGTCTGCAAGCACGGGTGCGTGGCCGTCGGCATAGCCCCAGACCCTGGCCTGCCCTGGAGCCCAGGCCGCCCCTGGGGTCTCCAGAAGCTGCTGGCCTGGCGTCCTGCCCTCCCCGGCCCAACCGGGGGCCTTTCGACTCCATCTCGAGACTGCTGGGGACCCTGTGGCAGCTCTGTTCCCCCAGCCTGGCGGTCACAGCCACGACCTTGAACCCACCTCCCAGTGACCGACTTCGGAACGGGCCCTCCCTCCTCAGCCCTTGGACCCTTCGGGAGCCCTGCAGCTTGGAGCCTGCCCTCAGGTCGGGAGGGGACACGCTGGCCGCCTGAGGTCCCATCAGGCCTGATGGCTCCTGGCCACCCTGCCCTCTGGTGAAGGCCGATGAGTAGGAGAAAAGTCCCCCATCCCAGCACCCATGAGCAGGAAGCTGCTGCGGCCCACCGGGATTCACGCCCAGTGTGGCTTGTCTGTCTCCCCGTCTCCCCACGGCACGAGCAGAAGTACAAGCCGGCTCCGAGGAAGCAGCAGAAAATCACCTTCCCTCGGCTCTGGGCATGGTGCCAGCAGCCACATTTTCACATTAATGGGAGGGGGCCTGAGCTGGGTGAGCTGGCTAGGCGTCGTGGGGAGTGGAGGTGGGAAGAGCACTGCAGGCCCACAGGGGAGGGAAGGCCATCCAGGAAACACAGGGAGAGGCCACTCCTCGGAATGGCCCAGCACTCTGCTGCCCACCCACCCCAGCTCCGCGGGGCTCAGCTGACCTTCAAAGTTGAGGTTGGCCCCGTTCTGCAGGAGGACGTCTGCCGCCCGGGTCAGCCCCAGCTCCGCCATCTTGAGCAGGGCGTTGCTCACACCTTCCTGGTAGAAGGGAGAGTGGGCCTTCCTCTCCAGCAGCTCCGAAAGGACCAGGAGGCGGCTCTCTTCGCTGGCGACATAACCGGGCCTGGGGTGGGAGAGAGGCAGACCTGTCAGGGCAGAGGCAGCTGTGGGACCGGCCAACCTGGGCACCTGCTGGGGCGGCCCTCAGCCTTCTGCAGATATCGCCCACCAAGGCAGGGCCCTGGCTCTGGGGCAGAGAGACTCGGAAAAAGGTCTCACGCGGACAGAGAGGGCCACGCTGCGTCCATTAGACCGGGGCAGACTCCTGGGTGTGCTGGGAACAAGCCTCACTCCTGGGCAGCTGGGAGCCCTGGAGACAGGAGCCAGAATAGACTCTGCCACTTTTTTCTTTCTCTTTGAGTCAGAGTCTCGCTCTGTTGCCCAGGCTGGAGGGCAGCGGCACGCTCACGGCCACGGTAGCCTCGACCTGCTGGGCTCAGACAATCCTCCCGCCTCAGCCTTCCAAGTAGCTGCAACTACAGGCGTGCGCCACCACGTCCGGCTAATTTTCAACTTATTGCAGAGACGAGGTCTTGCCAAGTGCTCGGGCTGGTCTCGAACCCGCGGGCTCAGGCAGGCCTCTCGCTCGGCCTCCCGAAGCGCCGGGATTACGGACGTGAGCCCCTGCGCCGGGCCCGCCCGCCCACTTCTCCCTCGGAAACGCCTTCACGAACAGCCCCGCCTCGAGCCGCGGACACCAGATCAGCGCGGGCCGGGCCGGCCCAGCCTCGCGCGTCCTCGAGGGCTGAGCGCACACGGCCG